CTGAGCCTAGCTGGGGGTCCCTCCATGGCCACCGGGAATGGACCCCAGATGTCGTTTCCTCTTGGCGCAAGTCATCATTAGATTTAACTTTGGAGGCAAAATGGCCAAGCTCTGGCGAGAAGAGATCGATGGCCCAAATCTCCCAAACACTGACCACTGATCTTTAGCCCATTCACCACCCACTGATCCTGCCCTGTCTGCTTCTCTGTATGGAACTGTCAAATACTAAAGTGGGGCAACCACACTGTCTCCACAATTCCACTGCATCCTCACGTTTCAGTTCCTTGTTCCTGGGAGGGTTTGGGGCAGGAGCTCAAAAGCACCTTCCTCTTTCCTATGACCAACCCCCGGCCCATATGTCCCTTGTATTTACACATTAATCTTCTTCCCTTTTTGATCACTGTGCTATAAATACCCTCAGCGCCCCACTGGCCCCACCCCAGGCTGTCTTCCCTGGGCATCTTCGGGATGCACAGAAGCATCGTGACCTTTGTGTGACCTGCCACTTGGAATCCAGACAACATCCGGGAGTGGCCCATTTCCCAAGCCCACACCAGACAGAAAGGAGAAGGGTTTCTGTTTTCTGAGCTTTTATGCTTTATGTTTATAATTATTGTTTTCATTAATTTTAAAGACAATGTTAGAGCCAAGTCCTTCCCTCCCACTTCATGGCAGCGATGACTGCTATGCAGGGGACAGCATTTTCCCGGGATTTGACAACAAGACACCCATCACAATGGTTTCCTGACAAACTGGAGCGAGAAGGGGTGTGGCCCACAGAACAGCTACCTGAACAGGGACCTCAGAATGAAGTTCTGGAACTCTCCAAGGTCTGTCTGCTTTGAGGGGCTGAAGAGTGTCAAGATTTGGAGGCAATCCAGCCAAAACTAGCTGCGCTCACACCCCGGGACGGTGTGGCTTCCCTGATTCAGACCCACAGAGCCAAAGGCCCCTCCGAAGCTGCATTGAAAGGGCCTGGTCTGGCCTGGCCAACCGTTCCTCCAAGGGCCAGATAGCGAATGAACTGCTTACTACCACATGGAGCAAAGGCGTCAGCGAAGAAAAGTGCAATTTCCATTCGGGAAGTAAGGTCCTCCCAAAACATGACGCCACCACCTCCTCCCCTTTTAACCCTTTCAGTACCTCAAGGGGGAAGGGGAACAAAGACATGCAGCACTGAACCTCTGAAACTAATCAGGGGCCGCCAGTATGTCATCGCTCACCCTTCACCGCCCTAAAACACCCACTCACAGGTCCCGTCAGTCATCAAAGTGCCGGTGAGTTGAGGAGCATGGCAGGGTCAGGAGACAGGCTCCCCACAGGTCCACAGGAACCAGGGCACACGGAGAGAAGACCCCACTTCCATCTTCAATAGGACACATTCGTCCTGAGTTTACAGCAGGATTTACGACTGCAGCAAACAGCCACAGGCTTCCAGGGACTTCATAAAACTCCTTCAGAAGACCTTGTATACTTCATTGCCTGTTGGAGGATAAACTCAAAACTTCTTCACAATATAACCTGAGCCACAATAAGAAATAAAAAGAAACAAATCCTTCCATGTTAATGCCTTGAGAAGTTTACAGATTATGTACCAATAAAATAAATCCACATAAATTCTGAAATTCTTGGTGGATATACACCTGAAGCAAAAAAAAAAAAAAGTTAATCTACATTTTTTTTAAAATCAAAGTAATTACAGCAGCAGTATAGTGAAAAGGTTTTAAAAATAATAATTACATCTTTGATACAAATTCAAACTTTGTACATCTCATTTCAAAGGAATGACTGTTTTTAAGAGTTTAGTGTATATATACATATATATACACATACACACATATATATATGTATATATATACACAGTAGATAGCGATATGTGTCATTGCAGACAGACTAAAGCCAGTGGACTTTGAAGGAGGGATTAATTTGACACTGTTTTTTCACAAAGAAGTGTTCACAGATTGCCACACTTTTAAACACACACACACGGACACGGAAACACAAACACACATAAAATGCCAACCTGAGTAAAACATTACTAAAAATCTAGAGTATCATGAATCACTAAGTCACATATTGCACCTTTAAATAATCCTTCTTACCAAATACGACGTGAGAAAAAGCATAAAACAGGGACAAGAAAAGGAGCGTGCATTACTGTAGGGGTTCCTTTGCTTCCCCCCCAGAAATTCTCGAGGTGATAGCTTCCACTCTCACTCAACCGGTGGGCTGAAAATGTGACCAACAGTTGTGTCTTTGGGGAAAACTGGGAGGGAAGAGGGAAGAGAGAATATAGCACAAAACGAGGCGGGGCGGGGGGGGGGGAGTTGGGGTGGGGAAGCCTCCTCTCATCCGGCAAGAACAGGAATGTTATTGAGAAGGCTGAACTTCTGATACTACACTACCGTTTAAATATTCCACATATTCCAATTAAGAGATTCAATACAAAAATATAGATATCTACTGAGTTTTGCCTGTGGAAGCATAATTCAGAAAAGGCACATGTTCAAATAGAAAACCCAGGCAGGAGAGGCGCCACGTTCCCCTCCCGAAGTGATAATCATCCACAGTTACATGCTTTCCATCAGCTAGATTCCAAGATACAGTAGGTAAAAATAGACCTCTGATACTTAAAATATATTCAACCCAACACAATCCTGGCTTTAGCATGTGGATCATATAAAATAGTCTTTAAAAAAAAAAAAATCTGTTTTGAAAAAGAAAAAAAAAATCATAGCTCACTTTTCCTGGTTCTCCGTAATTCTCAAGAAAAAAAAAAAAGTGAGCTCATCCCACTGGTCACCAGGAATGTGGTTGATTTGCTCGCCGTCCATCCACAGCCCCGGGCAGCGCTAGCTTTCTCATCTGCCGTCATGTTATGTGTACAGCTTCATACCCTCAATGACTTCTAAAGAACAGAACAAGGAATTAAGATACTGGACATATAGAAACATGTCAACATCGAGGCGTTTTCCTGTGCTGTGGGTGTGATGGCCTCGTGAACTCCGGAAAGGTTATCCTTTGGAATCAGGCGATGTAACCATTCGTTTTTCCAAACGTGGTCGCTGGGGCGAGGTTTTCATAGATTGTCATTGCAGTTGTGTTCTGGTAGATGAGATCTACTTTTGAGTCCTTCTGGGATCTGATGATATCCAAAACACACTGATTGAGGAAAACATACTGGTCCTATTAGAAAAGGAAGACGAGAAAGGAAATAAGCACAGGTCCTGGAGGTTACTTTCAGATTTCCAGCCCTCAATTTTGAAGACACAGCAGGTAAAAATAGACCACTGACACTTAAATATATTCAACCCAATGTGATCCTGGCTTTAGCATTTGAATTATATAAAATAGTCTTCTTAAAAAAAAAAAAATCTGTTTCGAAAAAGAAAAAAAATTGTAGCTCACTTTTCCTGGTTGGGTTTCCCTAATTCTCAAGGAAAAGTGAACTCAAACCCACTGGCAACCAAGAATGTTGTTGATTTGTTCACCAACCCTGACGGCCCCAACTTCTCATCTATCACATGTTATGTGTGCAGTTTCACGCTCAAAAAGAAATATCAGAATAACTGGGGAAGGGCCAAGAAAAGAATGTAGAGGTGACAATGCACATATACGTTTAAATGATCAAAGTCTTTCAATATTTTCTTGGCTCGTGAGGATGTGCAGAATAAGGAGTAAATTGTGGTTCTCAACAGAGGGGGTGAGTTAAAGAAGGATTGATGGAGGTAAGAGTTGGGTGAGGACCACACTTGTAGGCAAGCATACCAGAACCTGCAGGTAGCCATTAAAAAGAGGAAGAAGAGGTATATGCTAACACGGAAAAAGACCCATGATGTTATAAGAGAAAAAAATCACAGGGCGGCATTACATACAAAACAGGATCTAATTTTTAAAAAATACTCCATGTTTGTATACGTATATGTATTTTTCTATAGCTGAGCACAAAGAAGCCTATGAAGATATACCCAAACTACCTCCAAGGAGTGGGACTGGGGAAGAGAAAGAAAAAGAGAAATATATACCCTATATAACCCAGTATTGTCAGATTTTTTAATATCGACAGGTTTATATTATTTTCAAAATATGAAAAAGGACGTGAAAAGAATCTGTAGGCAGGTACTAGATTTCGATGTTTCTCAAAATAAGATAAAAGATTGAGAACTACTCCTCTATATAATCACAGCAGAAAGAAGAAAATGTCTCTTCTGACCAACCCAGGAGGGGAATTCCACTCCTTCCACCTCGACCACACCTCTCACCCCAAAGCACGAGATGTGCCCAGGCTTCTAGAACATTCCCTGCCGGATTCAAGACAGAGAGTATATTCAGAGTTCTAAACTGGTGCAAGGCAATAGCCTGATACAAAATTAATATTCTGCTCTCATCTTGGTCACCCTACAACTTTGAAAAAGGCTATTTCCCAATATATTTGTTGAGAACATGCCTCGAAAACAGTATTTACTTGGAACATTTCAAGGAAAGCCAAATCCAACAGTCTTGCACAAACGACACTGTAGACATCAAGCATTCATCTTCTCACGTGGTCAGCAACCTCCTGTAGCTATATAGCTGACATTCACAAAGCTGAGTGAGGTTGCAGTGCCATATGAATGCTTAAAGCAGCATTATGCTACTTCATATCATTAATATTTGATAAGTCCTCATTAGCTTAGTTTAGAGATGGCGAGAGCTTCTTAGAAACAAAGAGTGAAAATTTCAGTTTTATGAGTTTAAAATCCAGAAGCCAAAGTTCAGAGAGACTTGCTAAGATTATCTGGTGAGTTCCTGGCAGCCAGGTAAGGATCCTAACACTATGTAGGTTTGTAGTGCCGATGCTGATATCAAGCACCATGTGTCACTATCAAGTAGTTCAACCTCATGTCAGTTTAGGGTCTTAAATCCAGTGTTATGTCATGATCAAGAGCCAGATAGATCTGGAAGGGTGAAACAGTTTAACACAGGTGAAACCTTTTGAAAAAGGACGGCAAGGGCAGACTGTCAGACACAGATGTTGGCCTCACCTCTGTTTGCACCATTAAGGGCCTGTGCATTCGAAGGTCATACACAATCCCGTACACATCTACAGTGTTCTCATTCTCTATCTGATAGATCAGACGATCGATGGCAATGAAAGTGCCCGTCCTTCCAACCCCAGCACTGAAAAGAAAAGGGAAATGAGCACATTTGAGCACATTGCCATGTTACCTCCACTGTACCACTCTCAAATTGCCCCATTTGTGCATACATATCTTGCTCTCCTCCACTATCAGCCTTGGAGGGCAATGCCCATGATCATTAAACATTTGCTCGTTTGAAATCTCAGCAAGTAAGACTGAACTAGCTTGGGACTGGGGCCCAACTCCTAAAGTTCCTTTGGAGTCAAGTGTCACAAATAAAATACCTTGCTACAGCTTCTTGAACCTGTCTCATTCAAGTCGCCATCATAAGCTAGGATGGCAAGATTTCAAATTCATTTCCCATAGGACGACAAAGCCCCTCCTTTCTTTTGTCTAAATTAATTCCTTTAGCTTTAAAGCTAATGTCATTGTTCTAGACAAGGGAGCGGCAAACTTTTTCAGCAAAGGGCCAGATAGTAAATGTCTTCTGCTTTTCAGGACAAATGGTCTTTCTGCCACTGCAACAAGAAATTAACTATAAATAATATGTAAACAAATGGGCATGGCTGTGTTCCAATAAAACTTTATTTATAAAAATAGACTGCCAAATATATTGTAGTGGTGGTTTCATGGGTAGATACTTATCCCCAGACTCATTAAGTTGTATATATTAATTTATGTACAGTTTTTGTATGTCAAAAATATTTTAAATAAGTAAAACGAATATAACTATCTGTTTCAACGTTGTTAAATAAAAAAACCAACATGCTGAATGAAGAAAGCAGGTTGCAGAATGATGTACATGTGATAAAATCTGGTAAAAGTTTAAAGCTATATAAAACTATAGAGGTATATACATATGTAATAAAATATAAAAGCAGGCAAGGGAATAATGCAGATTGACTTTCAGGACCACGTTCACCTACATAAGAAGGAGCACTGGAGACTGGCAAGTAGAGACTTCATATCTGTAACATATTATTAACAAAAAGGAATGTATATGGCCTCATGCTATACCTTATTAAATTGTTGTAAATCTCTGTATTTTTGTAAGGTTGAAATATTTTATAAGACAATATTATAAATGAGAAATAAATTAAAATGCCTATGGTTTACAAAGAAAAATACAGGCAATTACCAGATCTGGCCCCCAAGCCAACACAGTTTGCCAATCCCTGTCTCAGGGCTTAGAGAGTATGTCCATGGTCCCTTAGTCAAACTTTCTTGAATTTGTGAGTGCCTACTGCATTCGGTCTTATACCTTGCTTTTCAAAAGTGTCCACATTTATAATTGCATTTGAAATCTGTCACACATGGAGCACCACCTGCCTACCTGCAATGCACCAGAACTGGCGATTCGGGAGGACTCTGCTTCATGTAGTCACGAACAAGATACCGGAAGTTGATGAGCAGGTCAGTGGTGTCGGGAACGCCGTGGTCAGGCCAGGAGGTGAAGTGGAACTGTCGCAGAGGGTGACTCTCACTAGTCTGGTTCTAAAAGCCAAGAAAAGAGGTTAGATCCAAAGAGAAAGGCTGCCTAACAACACCAGAAAGCAGAGTAAAATCGAGCAGTACCTGAATGCTGAACTGCGTGGGACAGCTAAAAGGCAGCTAAACAGAAGTGGTTATAGGTAAAAATTAGAATTTTACTTTGGTGCAACAGCTGAGAAAGTGCTTGCATGGACTTCGATGTGCTCAGCAAATCTTCCTAACATGCCCAAGCAGGAGGGTTTATTACCCTTCTTGAAAGATAAGGGAGTAAATGTTCCAAGAAAGCGACTTCCCCAACACAGAGCCCGGATGTAGAAGTCCCTCATCCTCTGATTTTGAGTTCAGACCTCTTCCTTTCGCCACCAGTTTCCTGCCAATAGTGTGCCCGCATTCCTACACTTCCACCTCCTCAGAGTTTCAAAAACCCCATCCCAGAGCCTACCTGGGAATGTCACTGACCACAAACAGATTCGCACAAATACAACCAGGATAACCAGTGCCTTTGGGGCAAGAACTGCCTCGTAATTCTAATGTCTTCCAGAGACTCTAATAAAGTGATAGGCAACTAGCAAGCACCAAGTAAATATTTAGAAATGTGGGCCTCTGCGAAAAGATCCCCAAAAAAACATCTATTTCAACATCAGACAGAAAATAGAAAGTGGACTTTGTTTTAACAGAGTTAGTTATTACACAGACTGGTTCCTACCATCGACCTTTCATTATCACAACTCCGCCCAGGATGGGCCATTCCTGTCTCTGATTGAACTGTGCTCAGTATGCCCACAGCCGGGCGCTGCCCTTTCCCATGTATACCTACATCTGGACTGCAGGCATTTCCATCTCCTTGATGACAGCTACTCTTCGAAGCTTATTTATTTTTTAAATACACATACATTATAAAAGCAGTGCATTCATATTATTCGAAATGTGAAAACACAAAGAAAAAAAGGCAGAGAGAGGAGAGGGAGTATTGTGAAGTCTCATCACACGCAAAAGTAACGTTCACAAATTTAACGAAAAGTATCCATCCAAAGAAAGAAGCCAGCCATGAGAGATGAGAGAGGGCAAAGTCAGACTTTTCAGTATTATCTCTGCGACAGGACAAAGAGGCCCGGGTTAGGGATGACAGAAGAAATGTTTAGCTCTGTTATGTTCCCACTTTTAAAATGCAAACTATAGGAGCATCCTTCTAGTTGCAAGAAGGGATGCTGCCCCATTCATGAATTGCTTAATAAAGCCAATTCGATCTTCAAATTTCAATAATTAAATAAAATGGAAACTATATTCATGCATTTTCGATAATTAAAAAGTAACTTTTTACTAAATGTCATGTGGTATCCTGGATTGGATCTTGGAACAAGAAAATGGTGAAAAAACGTGAAATCCAAATAAAGTCCAGAGTTTAGTTAATCAAAAAAAAAAAAAAATAGTAACAGTAATTTTTTTAAATGATGTGGACAATTCCACCCATGATTCTGTTCCACATTGGTGAACGCCAAGTGGAGAAGGCAACCAAAGATAAGCCAGTTCATTTAAAATAGGCAAAATCTATAGAAATAAGACATTTTAAAGAATTCTCCAAAAGCTGGATATTTCCATGGTTTCTAAATCCCCCTCATTACAAATGATGCTACTGAGATTCATCTTTATGAATAATAAACCTTCTCCTACATTTCAGGTTATTTTGGGGGGACAGATTCTCAAACATAGAATCACCATATCAAAGGGGAAGGGACATTTTTCTTATGCCCTTGATATAAACTGCAAAGGGTTATACCAATTGACACGCCCATCAAAAGATAACAGTGTCCCTTCCTGACACTGCTTCTACTTTTAAACACTCTTAAAATGGTAAAAAAAAAAAAAAAGGACACATAACTGGATTTGTTTTCATAACTTTTGGGGGCAAGGAAAGCCATGTGTATATGTCCTGGAATTCTATTAGTGAAACTGTTATCACAAACTGTTCCCAAAGGCTAATAATGGCAACTCCTGATGTCATACTTCTAACCAAATAATCCAAAAGGGCCTTGGTTTGTAACAAAACCTCTCTGAGCCAAGTCACCTGGAAGTGGAAGGGAAGAAGCTACAGATGCTGAGCCAAGCTCCTCCAGTTCACTTTATTCCAGAATAACTTATTCTCCTTAAGAAAGTAAAGCTAAAGAGTTGCCTAAGAGTATATATAAATATGAATTGTTTTATTCTGTAAAGGAGAAAGCAGAAGTATTTTTCTGATGCATGAAAAAAATACTGGTTAATATCAACCTGAAAAGGATCACCACCCAAAATTAGTACATGGTAATTTTATATGAGACCTAATCATCTTGACCTCTTACTTACATTTTTCACTGTAAAGTCTCTGATGGTCCATTCAGGAAGAACAATTTCAGATGCCATTGTCACAGTTATGTCCCCATAGTCCTGAGCCTGCTTGGAAGGCCAGTATTCCTCACATTTGGTCTAGAATGAAATTGCATTTTTATACAAAGACTCAGATCATGTTGTCTGCTATCACTAAATCCTCAAGCGAGAGACCAGATATGGATGACTGGCATCACACAGTGAATCGGTCCTTCAGCTGGGTTCTGTTTGACGCTTAAAATTGTAGGTTTTTTTTTTTTTAATTTACAATTGTTACCAACTCTTTTAAAATTAGGAGGTTTTCATAAAAATCCAGATTTCTAGCTTCTCTTGAAAAACCAGAAGATCTGGCCAACACTGAGCCCCATTTTTGCATGAAAATTGATTTAATGCTGAGTAGCAGCTGTTCCTTCACATGGGACACAGTCCCACCCAGCTCCCTGTGGCCCCAAAGCAGCTTCTGCACAACTGCTTCCTGAACTAAACCTCAATGAATGGCCCATACTGCGTGGCTAGAAGAAATGAGTACTTTCCTCAATACCTGGATACATGCTAACTGCAACACAAATACAGACACCAATAAAGAGGATCAAATTAAATGCTTTTGGGGTCTTTCGTTTTTATAAAGTCACAGGGAAGATGAGAACAGAAATAAAATTCATGAAACTGCTCTCTGAGAATATCAGCATTACCATTTGACGAATGACTTAAAACACACACACACCACACACACACACACACACACTCACCCTTCCAAGGTATGCTCCACTGCAGGTGGTTCCCAAACCTGGTTGGTTATCTGATTCACCTGGTTTGTTTTACTTTAATTCTGACACAGGCTGGGGATCCACATTTTTTAAAAGATCCCAGTCTTGAACTACTGCTCCAAGAAAAGAGCACAAGATTTGGACGCATACGGACATGGAGCTGATGTCCAGCTCAGTCTCAACCAGCTGGGCTTTCGTCGCTACTTTGTGGGCAAGTTCTTAAACTCTCTGAGCCTCAGTTTCCCTATCTACAAAATAATAACACCTCACAGGGTTGTTATAGGAAAGAAATAACATATATGGGGTGTCTGGGGCAGAAAATACACTGGCTCCCTTCCCCTATCACCCAAGTCGGTATCATCCACTTCTCTCCTGACTTAAGATGAACAAGGGCCCATCGAAATTCATCTTCATGTTCTTTGTTAATGTAACTACATCATTTTTGTTTGTCTAACAGATATTTATGAGACCGTTCCAAGTGCGAGGCCCTGGGCTGAAAAGCACAGCACCATAAAGTTTATTTGCATTCATAAACAAGGTTCTCTCATTTGCATTAATGGCCTGTTGTCCCAATTCAAGAAGGGGGTGCAGAGCTCTACCCTCAGTACCCCAAGAAGCGTGAAGAAGGGAAGCACCTCTTACTGTT